AGCGCTCAGTGTTTCCTCTGTTACCTCCCATGCAGTTTAAGATGGATAATTCCATGCAATGTCAACTACAGCCAGGTGAGAGGTGTGGTTGCCGGGACAGATCAGGGCTGGGTATCAATACTCTGAGGTGGCACCTCACTTCGCCTCAGACCTCTCCTTCATAATGACTGAAAGAAAGGAAACCATTGGAGACTATTGATACACAGTCCCAGGCCTCACAGTGCTGAGTGATCTATATACATCTAAGCCCTGCTGACAGCGCCCACGCACCACAGCCCAGCCAGCATTTACCCATACCTCCAGGGGCTGTGTCAGCTAGGAGTTCCAGAGTAGACACACCTAAATCCCTAGAATCCTTACCTACACTAGTATACCTGTTTCAGCTTGTTCTCTATGGAGCTTGCTGCTGGCAACTTACTTTTCAAACACCACTGTGCTTAGCTTAGGCCTACGCCTTCTCATCCACCATTACTCTACAGTCTACTCCCAGTCATTGTGCCATGGGTGGGCTGTGCTTTAAGATCCTTAGCTCGGCTGCCTGGGATGGTTGTTGTGTTGTGCCTTTGTGGCCGAGCGCCATGCCCTGAACCAGGAACAAAAGCACTCCGTGTAAATTAAAGTGCAATGATCTGTAGTGCGTGCTGGGGCAAGTCGCTGCTGTTTTCCTGACGTGACTGATGAGAGACAGAATGGGACTATGGGAGAGAGGGGCCTAGTTGAAAAGAACTACAGCAGTGTAGCGTGTGTCTGGATTATTTATCATTTATTTATTGATATGTGATTGAGTATAAAATTATGGAGTTTTAGGATTACATGAAATACAGTAGTGGGTTTCCCTAACTTCTTTCACATGTCTGTGCTCACATTGGAATGTAGATTTGTCATCAGGTATACTCTGAAATATGTGTTGATGTATCTAATATACTGCATTTTGGAAATGAAAACATCTCAATTGAATAAAAGTAGGATAGTCTTTATAAAATAATTAAACGTCAATATAATGCAGGACTACCCTCCATAGAGCTTCATGGGATGAGGAAGACTTTGCTCACATTGATTCTATCAAATACCTTAGCAAGGGCCGACTATCAAACACAGACTTTAACCTCAAACAGACTTTAACCTCAAACAGACTTTAACCTCAGCGTTTTGAATAACTTTATTAAGTACAGTGAAATGACTTTCTTGCAAGCTTTAAACCCAACAATAAAGTAATCAATATCAATATAGTACCAAAAATAACATAAGGTAGAACAATAACACACGAGAAATATACAGGGTCAGTTCCAATACCATATTTACAATGTGCAGGGATACTGGAGTGATAGAGGTAGGTACAGTACTGTATGCATAGGGGTAAGGTGACTAGGCATCAGGATATAAGATAAACAGAGTAGCAGCAGTGTACAGTTGAAGTCGGAAGTTTACATACACCTTAGCCAAATACATTTAAACTCAGTTTTTCACAATTCCTGACATTTAATACTAGTAAAAATTCCCTGTCTTAGGTCAGTTAGGATCACCACTTTATTTTAAGAATGTGAAATGTCAGAATAATAGTAGAGAGAATGATTTATTTCAGCTTTTATTTATTTCATCACATTCCCAGTGGGTCAGAAATTTACATACACTCAATTAGTATTTGCTAGCATTGCCTTTAAATTGTTTAACTTGGGTCAAACGTTTCGGGTAGCCTTCCACAAGCTTCCCACAATAAGTTGGGTGAATTTTGGCCCATTCCTCCTGACAGAGTTGGTGTAACTGAGTCAGGTTTGTAGGCCTCCTTGCTCACACACGCTTTTTCAGATCTGCCCACAAATGTTCTATAGGATTGAGGTCAGAGCTTTGTGATGGCCACTCCAATACCTTGACTTTGTTGTCCTTAAGTCATTTTTCCACAACTTTGGAAGTATGCTTGGGGTCATTGTCCTTTTGGAAGACCCATTTGCGAACAAGCTTTAATTTCCTGACTGATGTCTTGAGATGTTGCTTCAATATATCAACATAATTTTCCTTCCTCATGATGCCATCTATTTTGTGAAGCACACCAGTCCCTCCTGCAGCAAAGCACCCCCACAGCATGATGCTGCCACCCCCTTGCTTCACGGTTGGGATGGTGTTCTTCGGCTTGCAAGCCGCCCACTTTTTCCTCCAAACATTACGATGGTCATTATGGCCAAACAGTTTTATCTTTGTTTCATCAGACCAGAGGACATTTCTCCAAAAAGTACAATCTTTATCCCCATGTGCAGTTGCAAACCGTAGTCTGGCTTTTTTATGGCGGTTTTGGATCAGTGGCTTCTTCCTTGCTGAGCGGCCTTTCAGGTTATGTCGATATAGGACTCGTTTTACTGTGGAAATAGATAATTTTGTACCTGTTTCCTACAGCATCTTCACAAGGTCCTTTGCTGTTGTTCTGGGATTGATTTGCACTTTTCGCACCAAAGTACGTTCATCTCTAGGAGACAGAACGCTTCTCCTTCCTGAGCGGTATGATGGCTACGTGGTCCCATGGTGTTTATACTTGCGTACTGTTGTTTGTACAGATGAACGTGGTACTTTCAGGCGTTTGGAAATTGCTCCCAAGGATGAACCAGACTTGTGGAGGTCTACAATTTATTTTCTGAGGTCTTGGCTGATTTCTTTTGATTCTCTCATACAGTTAGGCAAAGAGGCACTGAGTTTGAAGGTAGGCCTTGAAATACATCCACAGGTACACCTCCAATTGACTCATATTATGTCAATTAGCCTATCAGAATCTTCTAAAGCCATTACATCATTTTCTGGAATTTTCCAAGCTGTTTAAAGGCACAGTCAACTTAGTGTATGTAAACTTCTGACCCACTGGAATTGTGATACAATGAATTATAAGTGAAATAATCTGTCTGTTAACAATTGTTGGAAAAATTACTTGTGTCATGCACAAAGTAGATGTTCTAACCGACTTGCCAAAACTATAGTTTGTTAACAAGAAATTTGTGGAGTGGTTGAAAAACGAGTTTGAATGACTCCAACCTATGTGTATGTAAACCTACGACTTCAACTGTATATGATGATTGTATGGGAGTGTGTGTGTGTGTTTGTGTGTGTGTGTGTGTGTCTGTGTAGAGTCAGTATAAATGTGTGTGCATGTTATGTGTGTGAGTAAATGAAGTGTGTGTGTGTGTGTTGGAGTGTGTTTGCGTGTGTTTGGGTGTGTGTTTAAGTGTGTGTGTGTTGGAGTGTCAGTGTGCGTGAGTGTGTAGAGTCCTTTGAGTGTGCATAAAGACAGCGCAAAAAAATATATACAATACAAGGGTCAACTCGTAGCCATTTTGTATCGCTATTTAGCAATCTTATGGCTTGGGGATTGAAGCTGTTCAGGAGCTGTTCCCTAACACCTTCGTGTCATTCAGAGGTTAAGTACTGGTGGTTACCAGAACCCCTCTCCTCTCTCTGGTACTATGCTCTGACACTTTCTAAAACACAGTCCAGTCCAGCCTCCCTCTCACCTAGTCCCCACCGCCACTGAAAACACAACCCACAAGTGTTGGCCGTTCGACCTTTTCATACATTTCTCATTGGTAGACAGTTTTTCCTGCAGCTCCCGGGGAAAATGGACATACCCTACTATTAGCACTAACTGCAGACCCTTGTGACACCCCCTTCACACACACACACACACACTATTTTACCCCCACCCCACTACACCCCTAGCAATGACCCTCTCTCATACACCCACACACACACACACACACATAGCCCTGATTCATTGTTCCCTGAGGGGTGGTTTAAGCCCCTGGGTGCAGTAGGCCACGGCCCCCTGGTTTTACGGCCCTGGCCCCTTTCTCTGGAGTCCTTCAAAGTGTTTGATTTTAGCCTGCAGTCACTTCAGACTTAATTAACAGGCACATGCAGGCCTTTTCACTGTTAATCACAACAAACAATCAGGTGACCCGACAGAAACACAACATTTTGATTCACTCCCTTTGCCGTAGGGAGTGTGTGGTGTTAGAATTTCTTTCCAAGCTGGTCATCGTATTGGTCTAGATTAGATAGAGGACAGGCATGCAATAGACTGACATACAGATATTGAGAGTTTTGTTGTTTCGTAATTCTATCTCTACACAGCCATGCCAAAGCTATCCCTGTGTGGTAACTAACGTGAAATCAATACTGTTGTGAGCATGTTGTGAACTTATGAAACTTTACTCGGTTTGATTCCTTATTTTGATTCTCGTTGTTAGTGAGATTATAAAACTGATAGAATGACCTAGAAATAGAACATGATTCTGATGTGAAAATGATTCCTAGAAGAATTCACGCTGGGATTTGTATTGTGGTATTTTGGATGGATTATCTTTATATGGGCGTCAGTTAACTGCCTGCCTGTTGTTTAAAGAATCACTTCCCTATTTCCCAGCTGACAGGCAAGATAGAGCACTAGGCCAAAACACAGATCACAGATGGATAGATAAGAGATGTGTGGATGAGTGGGGGAAGCCTCTCTCTCTCGCTCTCTTTCTCTCTCCCCAGCAGCTACACAGGAAGTTCATGACCATGAGGTCACAGGAACACGCCATATTTTAGGGCTACACAGCACACGACTGGTTCCAACTGGAATAAAACAGAGTTTTCAGAGTTTTTTAAATTTCATTGTTGCTGTCTATCTTGTTTTTACTGTGCTAACTTGAGCATGATCAGTTGGTGACTATTTCCTTGTTTACATATTTAAAAGCAGTTACTTTTTAAATGGAGTAAATGGAAATTAGGAATACACCTAAAGTGAACATAGAAGTGGAAATAGTGTTTCATCATCATCTACAGTAACCTACCATGAGGCATAATGGCAGTCAGTGTGGCACCTGTGCAGACAGACAGTTAAATGTAAACAGACATCCTTCTTTGTCATACAACCTACAGTAGGCCTGTGTTCCTATTGTAAAGGTGTCAGTGGGGTGGCCGAGCACAATGGCTGACACCAAGGACTTTGCTCATCAAACATTGACTTGAGTGAAAACATGCATACTGTCAATGGGCAGAGGAAAGTGTGTTGTAGGGCCTGAGGCATCTCTCTCTCTCTCTCTCTCTCTCTCTCTCTCTCTCTCTCTCTCTCTCTCTCTCTCTCTCTCTCCCTCCTAACAGGAAAAAGACCCAGATGTGAGGATGGATGAGGGATACGAACTTGACCTAACCTACGTGACTGAGCGCATCATCGCCGTGTCCTTCCCCCGGACATGCTCAGAAGAGATCTACCTCCACAACCTGAAGGATGTCACAAGGATGCTCAAGTCCAAGCATGCTGATAACTACTTGGTCAGTTAGCACTACTCTCATCCATGTGTCTCACACCATTCTTCATCTCACTTGTAGTGCATAGACTATTGAGATACCTAGTCCTTTCTGTCCTATCTGACATCTTGTGGCTGACATCAGATTTCTATTAGAGTGAGATCATTAAAGTTTATCTTTGATTTGGTCAAGTTTAAAGTGTGACTGTTATTCACCCTGTGTCATTGTCTCACTGACATATTTTGTGGTTTCTAGAGAAGTGATGATGACAGGACTATAGCCTACTTTAACCTCAGCACGACCATTTAGTGTGAAGCCTTCTTTAGTTCATATGGGAAAGAGGAAGTGAAAACGGTTGAAATAGTTACATTTTAAGATAGTTATAAAAGGCATATAATTGAATTGCAACATAAAAGTATGTATTCATGCGTACATGTCTTTTTCCTTTCTAGATTATCAACCTGTCGGAGAAGAGACATGATCTCTCTAAAATGAACACTAAGGTAAAGCAACCATACTGTCTTTTTCAGAATGTGCAACATAAACAAAACATAGGGCAAGACACGAGGTGCCGAAGAGATACAGGTATCAACAAGCTGCAGAATGACTCGGCTGTATTTGCCATAGCTAAATCAATGAATATCAGTGACAACATGGATCTCAACCGTATCTGCTTGAACAACTGTATCACTAGATAACCCTTTGATTTAGAAAGGCTGTCTCTAGGATTTCTGGAGACTCTGCACACGCTAAATAGATAGTATAGGTTGTATAGAGATTGTGTAGATGAGAAATATCTATAACAAAGTGTATGTGTGTGTGTGTGTGTGTGTGATTTACCTTGTGCTTGCAGACTCTGGACACCGGCTGGCCTGACCTGCATGCCCCTCCTCTGGATAAGATCTGTACCATCTGTAAGGCCATGGAAGGCTGGCTCAATGCTGACCCTCTACACGTGGTGGTCATACACTGCAGGGTGAGCACCATCATCATTACTCTGTTATCACCCTCTCATCATCTCTCAGTTCTCGTCTTCTGGCCAAAGATCACTTGTTTCACCTTATTATATAAAGTCACTGTCCAGTAAAAAAAATCTCACTTACATTTTTTATTTATTCTGTTAACTCATACCCAAATAATGTTGTTGACTCATCTTCTACTTGTATTTTTGGCCAAAGCATACATTTGAGAAAATAACACCTCAAAAACTCCACCTCAATCTTATCTCAAACAGACCATTTAAAAAAAGTATTTATATTTACTCATAGAGGATGATGTCATCCTCCTGAGAAGGATGAGCTGGCCAGTCAGCGGTGTACTCGCATGAATATTTTTAATGACCGGTATACGCCCACACCATTCTGTAGTTGGGGTATGCCCACACCATTCCAACACAGAGAACATTCAGCCGGAGGTACTTCCGGTTGGCGGGTGGGGTCATGGTAATTGTTCCAGGAGCTGAAAAAATAAGTGTTGTTTATTTGTTTATTTATAATTCAATAACACTACCTGTTACTGTTGCAATTGATTACACCTAAGCATTGGCACACAAAGATGAATTATTTTGACATCTTGTCTCTGTCTTGTATTTCAGGGTGGGAAAAGCAGAATTGGAGTGGTCATCTCATCGTTTGTGCATTTCACCGACATATCTGCCAGGTAGCTGCTGCAACCAATGGCATCTCATGGCTTTTTATCCATCTTTTAATTTATTGAGGTTTAGCACTGTGAAATGTGAGTTCACTCTAACCAAAATATCTGACCTCAGGAGAGAGTGAGTAGCACTGATTGAATGTTTGGGTCCAAACTCAGATCCTTGTCAACTCCAACTCAAATGTCTCAGATAAATATAAACAAAGATAATCTATTTCACTCTGACCACTTCCGGCCCACTCAGCCCTTTCACTGAATTCCACAGTGATTCAGAACGTGAGTCCAACAATCAATAGTTATGGTTGTGGGATCAAAGGCAAGCCACAAGTTATGAGTCACGTTTACAGAATTACACACTCTAAATCAACATAGACAATACTAGACAGTCATGATAACAGGTTGTGACAGAAACTGCCCTTTATCACAAAGGTCAATGTAATTTTCCCTGAATGGACCTGGAGATGAATTTAGCAATTAAATATGAGTTTCAGTAAGGCACTTGAGTTCAGAATAATTTCCCCTCAAGCACATGCAGTTCCTCTAAGTGGAAAAAGTTACACAAACAAAGATGAAAGTCATTGACACTCTGAAAGGATATTCAGAGCAGCTGCAACTCAGCTAATCCCTAAAGTCAAGAACTGACTTCAAACATTTAGAGAGAAAGTGGTTTATAAGGTGAAGGGAAGTGCTGTGTGTGTTTGTGTGTGTCTTGTCTTATGCGCTTATGGAGATCCTTTCTGCGCACAGCCCCCATGTGATATGAGTACACGTTGGCCCAGGCCAGGCTGGGGCAGGCCAATCAACGTGGGAGAGAGAAAGGGGAGAGAGAGACTGAGAGAGAGGAAAGGGGGTCCCCTGTAGCTCAGTTGGTAGAGCATGGCACTTGCAATGCCAGGGTTGTGGGTTCGTTTCCCATGGGGGGCCAGTATGAAAATGTATGCACTCACTAACTGTAAGTCGCTCTGGATAAGAGCGTCTGCTAAATGACTAAAATGTAAAATGGGGGAGAAAAGAGAGAGAGGAGAACAGAAAAAGATTGAGGACAGTGAGGAAAGGAAAGAAAGTGAGAGGGAAGAAGAGGAGAGGCGGGGAGATTTAGAGGGAGGTATATGGTGGGAGGGGGAGAGAGATGGAGAGACAATTGAGGAAGAGAGAAAAAGAGGGAGAGAGAGACCTCTAGTGAAAATCCTCCAGTGCCTGTTGGTTTTAGGCCTGTTGGTATAGCAGTAACTGTGTACACACCCTGGCCTCTTTCTCCTCTGTGTTTACTCTGCATTGTCTTCCTCTCTGCTGGAATCCCTTGTCTCTCTGGTTACTTTCTCTCTTCATCGCTGTCAGTGTGTGCACACTCACGTTTGTGTGTGTGTGTGCGTGAGTACGTGTCAGAGAGAAACAGAATATGTATTGAATATGTGCTAATGTTTGTTTACATTGTGTGTAACTCCACTCAGTCAGCCAGGAGGATCTCTGGTATAGGCTGATGACTTACGCTCAGTTCAGTTTAATTCACTGTTCCCTTATTTAAAACTAAAGCTCTTAACTAAAGGTTACTTACATCATTGTCAGGAGTGCTTACCCTGTCAGTGCTTAAGCCTAAACAGTAGGGTAAGTCAGTGTTTAAGCCTAAACAGGAGGACGGTAAGTCAATGTTTAAGCCTAAACCATGTCTGTGTCTGTCTCACATAGTGCTGATCAGGCCCTGGACCGCTTTGCAATGAGGAAGTACTACGACGACAAGGTCTCAGCATTGATGACACCTTCTCAGAAAAGGTATGGCATCTTTTCAGGCACAATATTAATCTACTTTCTAGTATTGAGGAAATGCTCGTTGTGTGGTAAGGGTGGTGAGGTAAAGGTGTTTTCCATCCCTCCCCACCCATTTACACACACATGCACACACATGCACACACACACACACACACACACACACACACACATACACACACACACACACACACACACACACACACACACACACACACACACACACACACACACACACACACACACACACACACACACACACACACACACACACACACACACACACACAGTTACAGTTAGTGCTAATCTATACCCACCCCTTTTCGCCCATCCTAGGGCATGTTCAGGTCCCAAGCCCACCTGAACCAATAGAAAACCTATTGCGTGTCTTGGTCTTGTTTGTCCATTTCCATAGAAAAGGGCCTGTGATAGTCGTGCCATTGTGTGTAATTGAAACAGAATGGGATCCCGTGGTGACCTGGTGTAATCTAATCCTGCTGCATCACACTGAATCACTGTGACTCAGTCACACTGTGGGCGCCTCATAAAGAATATCCCCATCACAAACACACAGGCTCAATGGATCTCAGAGCGGTCCTTTTCCCATGTGTACTTCAGTAACTGTGTTATAATTGTCATGGATGGACCCATCCATTGATGTCAGGGTTGTAAGTGATCTGTTGTTGTCCACTGTAACCTATATGCAGAGGAGTTTAGCTAGTGAGGATCATCTAGCTAGCTATTGTGTGGATTACTATATCTCATCTATTATTTAATGCCAGGTATGTTTGGATCCTGAACAGTCTCCTGAGTGGGTCGATGAAAATGAATGCCTCTCCACTGTTCCTGCATTGCATCATTCTTCATGGGATACCCAACTTCAACACTGCAGGAGGTAACTTAAAAAACTATTTTGTTCACCTATTGGCCCACTAGGAGATACACATTTACATTTTCCACTCAGTCAATACAGATTTAGGATCTTAATTTGATCACTATGTTGCAGAAAACTTTCCTGCAATGCAGGACATTTGAAACTTGTAGTGTATTTGAGTTTTAAAAAGGCTTCTGAAGTTTGTTATTTCCACTTTGAAATTTCAGACTTGACTTTCCCTTACGAAAAATGTATCAACCCCTACAAAAATGTCCATTCATTATAATCCACATAATAATTCAAATTTCGTGTTAATGCAGGATTATTTTCCTGCTGTAGCAAACTGGCTCAAGTTAAGATCCTACATATGTAGAAGCTAGAAGTCTGACAAATAACTACCAATAAAATTCCTATGAGGCTATCTAGAAATAAGTGGGCTTTTTGGGAGATCTTGCATGACAGAAGCATGACTCTGTAGCTCAATTGGTAGAGCATGGCGCTTGTAACGCCAGGGTAGTGGGTTCCTTCCCTGGGACCACCCATACGTAAAAATGTATGCACACATGACTGTAAGTTGCTTTGGATAAAAGTGTCTGCTAAATGGCTTATTATTATTATTACATGTATACACACACATGCACATACACTACCATTCAAAAGTTTGGGGTCACTTAGAAATGTCATTGTTTTCGAAAGAAAAGCAATTTTTTTGTCATCAAATTGTTCAGAAATACAGTGTAGACACAGTTAATGTTGTAAATAGCTATTGTAGCTGGAAACGGCTGATTTTTTATGGAATATCTACATAGGCATACAGAGGCCCATTATCAGCAACCATCAGTCCTGTGTTCCAATGGCACGTTGTGTTTGCTAATCCAAGTTGATCATTTTAAAAGGCTAATTGATCATTAGAAAACCCTTTTGCAATTATGTTAGCACAGCTGAAAACTGTTGTGGTGATTAAAGAAGCAATAAAACTGGCCTTCTTTAGACTAGTTGAGTATCTGGAGCATCAGCAATTGTGGGTTCGATTACAGGCTCAAAATGGCCAAAAACAAATAACTTTCTTCTGAAACTCGTCAGTCGATTCTTGTTCTGAGAAATGAAGGCTATTCCACGCGAGAAATTGCCAAGAAACTGAAGATCTCGTACAACGCTGTGTACTACTCCCTTCACAGAACAGCGCAAACTGGCTCTAACCAGAATAGAAAGAGGAGTGGGAGGCCCCGGTGCACAACTGAGCAAGAGGACAAATACATTAGAGTGTCTATTTTGAGAAACAGGTGCCTCACAGGTCCTCAACTGGCAGCTTCATTAAATAGTACCCGCAAAACACCAGTCTCAACGTCAACAGTGAAGAGGCGACTCCGAGATGCTGACCTTCTAGGCAGAGTTGCAAAGAAAAAGCCATATCTCAGCCTGCCCATCTTAATCTTTGCTTTTTATTGGCCAGTCAGAGATATGGACTGATGGTATGAAAAATTTATGCACTCACTAACTGTAAGTCGCTCTGGATAAGAGCGTCTGCTAAATAAAAAAATAAAAATAAAAAGGGTTAATGATAATGGGCCTCTGTACGCCTATGTAGATATTCCATTGAAAATCAGCCGTTTCCATCTACAATAGCCATTTAGAACATTAACAATGTCTACACTGTATTTCTGATCAATTTGATGTTATTTTAATGGACAAAAAATGTTATTTTCTTTCAAAAACAAGGACATTTCTAAGTGACCCCAAACTTTTGAATGGTAGTGTTGAAGTCGGAAGTTGAAGTCGGAAGTTTACATACACCTTAGCCAAATACATTTAAACTCAGTTTTTCACAATTCCTGACATTTAATCCTAGTATACATTCCCTATATTAGGTCAGTTAGGATCACCACTTTATTTTAAGAATGTGAAATGTCAGAATAATAGTAGAGAGAATTATTTATTTCAGCTTTTATTTCTTTCATCATATTTCCAGTGGGTCAGAAGTTTACATACACTCAATTAATATTTGGTAGCATTGCCTTTAAATTGTTTAACTTGGGTCAAACGTTTCGGGTAGCCTTCCACAAGCTTCCCACAATAAGTTGGGTGAATTTTGGCCCATTCCTCCTGACAGAGCTGGTGTAACTGGGTCAGGTTTGTAGGCCTCCTTGTTCGCACACGCTTTTTCAGTTCTGCCCACAAATGTTCTATGAGGTCAGGGCTTTGTGATGGCCACTCCAATACCTTGACATTGTTGTCCTTAAGCCATTTTGCCACAACTTTGGAAGTATGCTTGGGGTCATTGTCCATTTGGAAGACCCATTTGCGACCAAGCTTTAACTTCCTGACTGATGTCTTGAGATGTTGCTTCAATATATCCACATAGTTTTCCTTCCTCATGATGCCATCTATTTTGTGAAGTGCACCAGTCCCTCCTGCAGCAAAGCACCCCCACAGCATGATGCTGCCACCCCCTTGCTTCACGATTGGGATGGTGTTCTTCAACTTGCAAGCACCCCCTTTTTCCTCCAAACATAACAATGGTCATTATGGCCAAACAGTTCTATTTTTGTTTCATCAGACCAGAGGACATTTCTCCAAAAAGTACAATCTTTGTCCCCATGTGCAGTTGCAAACCGTAGTCTGTCTTTTTTATGGTGGTTTTGGATCAGTGGCTTCTTCCTTGCTGAGCGGCCTTTCAGGTTATGTCGATATAGGACTCGTTTTACTGTGGATATAGATACATTTGTACCTGTTTCCTCCAGCATCTTCACAAGGTCCTTTGCTGTTGTTCTGGGATTGATTTGCACTTTTCGCACCAAAGTACGTTCATCTCTAGGAGACAGAATGTGTCTCCTCCTGAGCGGTATGACAGCTGCGTAGTCCCATGGTGTTTATACTTGCGTACTATTGTTTGTACAGATGAACGTGGTACCTTCAAGCGTTTGGAAATTGCTCCCAAGGATGAACCAGACTTGTGGAGGTCCACACATTTTAATCTGAGGTCTTGGCTAATTTCTTTTGATTTTCCCATGATGTCAGGCAAAGAGGCACTGAGTTTGAAGGTAGGCCTTGAAATACATCCACAGATACACCTCCAATTGACTCAAATGATGTCAATTAGCCTATCAGAAGCTTCTAAAGCCATGATATCATTTTCTGGAATTTTCCAAGCTGTTTAAAGGCACAAGAAATGTATGGAGTGGTTGAAAAACAAGTTTTAATGACTCCATCCTAAGTGTATATAAACCTCTGACTTCAGCTGTAAATACGCACCACAGAAGAAATTCTTTATGGTCTGTAGTAAACTCAAGGGAATCCACACCCATTTTTTTCACATAAACAAACATTTTTTACACATTTCACTTAAACAACAAAGACTTCCCTGAGATGGAACCAATGCTTAATTTGAGAAGGATCCTGCTGGAACAGGATCCGGCAACTCTCAATGTTGGAATGTTTTGTTCATTTGTTCAACCATTTGCCAGAATCAGTACCTCTCTTGGCATGAAAAATAATTGCCACTGTTTGCAATGTATAAATGATAATAAAATCAATCAGAGTTCTGACAATCAGTGGGTTAAGCGAAGGAGGAAGTACTTTTGCCAGTTTAAAGCTACCTCCCGAGTGGCGCAGTGGTCTAAGGCGAAGAGATCCTGGTTCGAATCCAGTTGGCCCAGGGTAGGGGAGGGAATGGCCGGCAGGGATGTAGCTCAGTTGGTAGAGCATGGTGTTTGCAACACCAGGGTTGTGGATTTGATTCCCATGGGGGGCCAGTATTAAAACGAATGTATGCACTCACTAACTGTAAATTGTTCTGGGTAAGAGCGTCTGCTAAATGACTAAAACGTGAAGACTGCTTACCACCTCAGTGTTATGTACACTACCAGTCAAAAGTTTGGACACACTCAATCAAGGGTTTTTCTTTATTTTTACTATTTTCTACATTGTAGAATAATAGTGAAGACATCATATGGCCCAGAACTAGAATGAGATTCACTTTCAGTGATCTCTCTCCCTCTCTCTGTTCTGATAGACACACGCCTGCAATTTTCATCTCTCCAGCGTTGCACTTCATAATTTATTTCCTTTAGAATCATACACTCTTAGGAAAAAAGGTGCTATCTAGAACCAAAAAGGGTTCTTCGGCTGTCCCCATAGGAGAACCCCTTTTGGTTCCAGGTATAACCCTTTTGGTTCCAGGTAGAACCCTTTCCACAGAGGGTTCTACATGGAACCCAAAAGAGTTCTACCTGGAACCAAAGAGGGTTCTACCTGGAACCAAAAAGGGTTCTCCAATGGGAACAGCCACAGAACCCTTTAGGAACCCTTTTTCTGAGTGTAGCTCCGGGAAGGGTGACATATTGCATGTGACATGCCTATAGGTTACATGAGAGGCTGCCAATGTCGCACATGACGCTCACATAGAGATATGCCTAGTAGCATCTTAGAGAGACTGACACAATTTGTCAAGTCACAAAGTGTCAGGTCAGATTTCCTGTGCATTCTCTGTAATAGCCCACAAGAAGCTTGAGGGAAAGGGTTAATGTCATTTTATTAGCAATACATCTAAGAAATTATTACTAACTGTCACTTGATACCAACATGAATTAATACATGATACGGTATAACATAACATTAATGAATTAATGATGCAGTATATTGATAGGATGTAATTTCAAAAGGTCACCTAATCATAACAGTTACTAATTTTGGTCCCCGCTTTTTCTACTGAATTCCACTCTATTCTATTTCTCTTTTTTTTCAGTGTGTCACCCATATCTGAAAGTCTACCAGGGAATGCAAGCTGTCTACTCCTCAGGGGTCTAGTAAGCATTCATTAAACAACCTGTTTCCAATTTTGTTTCACAATAAGTGATACAATTTTCTTTGAACCACAATTGGCTGTTGTTCTAATTCAGCGCTTTCTGTGAGTGTCAGTGATTGGTCATAGAATGTTCTCTCTGATTGGTTGTTTGTCTCTATTACCCAGTCACATTGGGCCTGGACACAGAGACAGGATATGCATCAGTCTGGAACCTGCTCAGCTGCTAAAGGGAGACATCATGGTAAGAACAACTTTTCATAGCATCACATAACATATCCTATGGAATGTACTGGGTATACCATACAAGAAGAAAGATGGAAGTCATGATAGATTACATTAACAGAAGACTTACACATATAAAATGGTAAGAAACATAGCAGATGCCAACAACTGATTTGATAAGGTTTTATAAAGGTCACATGAATACACACACAAACTGCTGTTACACCCTGTCTCCCCCTGTTCCTGCAGGTGAAATGTTACCATAAGAGTGATGTCACTTTGGAGCGTGAGGTGATCTTCCGGCTCCAGTTCCACACGGGAGCAGTGCAGGGCTACAACCTGATGTTTGAGAAGGAGGACATGGAGACTGCCAATAAAGGTATACACACATACACACACACAGACCTGGAAAGGCCTAGAGAATGTCTCTGCTGGACTTCATTTGCATTTATAAAAACCACACGTGCAGCACCATTCATCTTTCCGTTGCGTTCTAACGCAGCCACACTCACGGCATTCCTTTGTGTTGACTCTGCAGATCCTAGATTTCCGGATTACGGGAAAGTAGAGCTGGTGTTCGCCGAGGGCCCGGAGAAGATCCCAGGTATTTTTTCTAACTCCTTAACCCAGTTTGAAAAGCAGGAGGGTTTGAAAACCTCCTGACACATGGTGCTTTCACCACCCAGCTTCCCCCTCGATCCCCCCGCCTTCCCCCTCTACCCCCTGTCGAGATGAGGATGTGGAATTCCGTAGAGGGGAAATGTAGTGTGAAGTGTGTACTGACAGATAGGTAAAGGAGCACAGCATGTCCTGCCTCCCAGCCCCACAGGAGGGAGTGTGTGTGTGTGTGTGTGTGTGTGTGTGTGTGTGTGTGTGTGTGTGTGTGTGTGTGTGTGTGTGTGTGTGTGTGTGTGTGTGTATGTGTGAGAGCTCATGCATGCATCCGAGCATATGTGTGCCCTACACAACTCGTAAAATGTAACGTTCCTTCAACTCTCAGTTGCAAGAGCACTCTGGCCACAAATCACTTCTAGGAAAGAAACAAAAAAGGCTTCTTTCCAACAGTGTTCCTCAAAAGTTTAAACCTATGAGATTGTCCCCACTGATCCCTTGTTGTTGATTGGACCCTATAAGAACCATATAAGAGCATCTCACAGTGTATCCTTGGTTTTGATTGGTCTAGGTGCAGAGCTCTGGCAGAATGGGGCAGACGTCAGTGTGGACTACAACACAGCCGACCCTCTGACACGATGGGACTCCTACCAGAACATCAATGACGGGGAAGGTAACAGCAGTCACTCTGACTTATTTCTCCTCATTACTGTGTGGAACATAAAGCTTCCAATCACTCTAACTTACTATCACATTATCCACCATAACTAACAAACAAGTTCATCCAGTTAAACCAAGCCATATCTGGGTCAGTAGTATAGCCTATCTGTTTTATGAGTGAATGGAGTTCCTCTGCTGACATTGTCCACTGTGCCATTACTAGGGTGTTTTTCCTGACCAGTAAAATCTTTGGGCCACACATAGGCTATCCCTGTCAGGAACAACTCCTTAACCCAGATACAGTTTTACCAACACAGGTACACCCAGTATAACCAACCAAACCGAATCTGTGTCAATCAGTGTTTATTTTTATGAATGAATGAATGGATCCTTCCTTAGAGAGCCAACCCACGGCACAGACATCAATTCAATGTCTATTTCACGTTGGTTCAACGTAATTTCATTGAAATTACATGCAAACAACGTTGATTCAACCAGTGTGTGCCCAGTGGGAAGTGATAACTGCAGTATTTTTTCAATGGGGAGCTTCCAGTGAAACAGATCTCTCAGCAACTCTGTAAACCTTATGCTAGTCTCAGTACTGCAGAGCATGACAGATTCATAGTCCTATGCTCTGGTTGGCCCACCTCACTCTGTACTGTATCATATAGGGACCACAGCGTGATTACATTAACATACACACAGTCAGTCGCCACCGGCCTGGTTTATGTGGCAGTGGGACCCATTACTCATAAGAAAGACTTGCAATAGGGCAAGTCCTATGGAAACATTCTTTATTTACTGTGGTGAACAGAGGATATGAAGGATAGCATATCCTCTTGATGAACCAAAGGCACATACAGTTGAAGTCGGAAGTTTACATTCACCAAACTCCAATTCCTGACATTTAATCATAGTTCAGCCTCCTGCAACGCCAGGGTTGTGAGTTTGATTCCCACGGGGGGCCAGTATGAAAAATTTATGCACTCACTAACTGTAAGTCGCTCTGGATAAGAGAGTCTGCTAAATGACTAAAATGTAAAAAATTCCCTGTCTTAGGTCAGTTAGGATCACCACTTTATTTTAAGAATGTGAAATGTCAGAATAATAGTAGAGAGAATGATTTATTTCCGCATTTATTTCTTTCCCTGTGGGTCAGAAGTTTACATACACTCAATTACCATTTGGTAGCATTGCCTTTAAATTGTTTAACATGGGTCAAATGTTTCAGGTAGCCTTCCACAAGCTTCCCACAATAAGTTGAGTGAATTTTGGCCCATTCCTCCTGACAGAGCTGGAGTAACTGAGTCTGGTTTGATTGCCTCCTTGCTCACACACGCTTTTTCAGTTCTGCCAACAAATTTCTATAGGATTCTTAATGTGAGTCTGGAAGGAGAGTTTACAGTCTAACCAGACACCTAGATATTTGTAGTTGTCCACATACTCTAGGACAGACCCGTCGAGAGTAGTGATTCTAGTCGGGTGGGCGGGTGCAAGCAGCGTTCGGTTGAAGAGCATGCATTTAGTTTTACTAGTGTTTAAGAGCAGTTGGAGGCTACTGAAGGAGTGTTGTATGGCATTGAAGCTCGTTTGGAGGTTTGTTAACACAGTGTCCAATGAAGGGCCAGATGTAAACAAAATGGTTTTGTCCATTTGGAAGACCCATTTGCGACCAAACTTTAACATCCTGACTTATGTCTTGAGATGTTGCTTCAATATATCCACATAATTTTCCTTCCTCATGATGCCATCTATTTTGTGAAGTGCACCAGTCCCTCCTGCAGCAAAGCACCCCCACAGCATGATGCTGCCACCCCCGTGCTTCACGGTTGGGATGGTGTTCTTCGGCTTGCAAGCACCCCCTTTTTCCTCCAAACATAACGATGGTCATTATGGCCAAAGTTCTATTTTTGTTTCATCAGACCAGAGGACCTTTCTCCAAAAAGTACGATCTTTGTCCCCATGTGCAGTTGCAAACCGTAGTCTGGCTTTTTTATGGTGGTTTTGGAGCAGTGGCTTATTCCTTGCTGAGCGGCCTTTCAGGTTATGTCGATATAGGACTCGTTTTACTGTGGATATAGATACTTTTGTACCTGTTTCCTCCAGCATCTTCACAGGGTCCTTTGCTGTTGTTCTGGGATTGATTTGCACTTTTCGCACCAAAGTACGTTCATCTCTAGGAGACAGAACGCGTCTCCTTCCTGAGCGGTATGACGGCTGCGTGGTCCCATGGTGTTTATACTTGCGTACTATTGTTTGTACAGATGAACGTGGTCCCTTCAGGCATTTGGAAATTGTTCCCAAGGATGAACCAGACTTGTGGAGGTCTACAATATTTTTTCTGAGGTCTTGGCTGATTTCTTTTGATTTTCCCATGATGTCAAGCAAAGATGCACTGAGTTTGAAGGTAGGCCTTAAAATACATCCACAGGTACACCTCCAATTGACTCAAATGATGTCAATTAGCCTATCAGAAGCTTCTAAAGCCATGACATCATTTTCTGGAATTTTCCAAGCTGTTTAAAGGCACAGTCAACTTAGTGTATGTAAACTTCTGACCCACTGGAATTGTGATACAGTGAATTATAAGTGAAATAATCTTTCTGTAAACAATTGTTGGAAAAATTACTTGTGTCATGCACAATGTAGATGTCCTAACCGACTTGCCAAAGCTATAGTTTGTTAACAAGAAATTTGTGGAGTGGTTGAAAAACAAGTTTTAACACAAGCAGTTAGGAAAGCAAAGGCTAACTTTTTCAAACAGAAATTTGCATCCTGTAGCACTAACTCCAAAAAGTTTTGGGACACTGTAAAGTCCATGGAAAATAAGAGCACTTCCTCCCAGCTGCCCACTGCACTGAGGCTAGGAAACACTATCACCACCGATAAATCTACAATAATCGAGAATTTCAACAAGCATTTTGCTACGGCTGGCCATGCTTTCCACCTGGCTACCACTACCCCGGCCACCAGCTCTGCACCCTCCGCTGCAACTTGCCCATGCCCCCCCCGCTTCTCCTTCACACAAATCAAGACAGCTGATGTTCTGAAAGAGCTGCAAAATCTGGACCCCTACAAATCATCTGGGCTAGACAATCTGGACCCTTTCTTTCTAAAACTAGCCGCCGAAATTGTCGCAACCCCTATTACTAGCCTGTTCAACCTCTCTTTCGTAACGTCTGAGATCCCCAGAGATTGGAAAGTTGCTGCGGTCATTCCCCTCTTCAAAGGGGGTGACACTCTAGATCCAAACTGTTACAGACCCATATCCATCCTGCCCTGCCTTTCAAAAGTATTTGAAAGCCAAGTTAACAAACAGATCACCGACCATTTCGAATCCCACCGTACCTTCTCCGCTATGCAATCCGGTTTCCGAGCTGGTCATGGGTGCACTTCAGCCACGCTCAAGGTCCTAAACGATATTATAACCGCGATCGATAATAGACAGTACTGTGCAGCCGTTTGACCTGGCCAAGGCTTTCGACTCTGTCAACCACCGCATTCTTATTGGCAGACTAAATAGCCTTGGTTTCTCAAATGACTGCCTCGCCTGGTTCACCAACTACTTCTCTGATAGAGTTCAATGTGTCAAATCGGAGGGCCTGTTGTCTGGACCTATGGCAGTCTCTATGGGGGTGCCACAGGGTTCAATTCTTGGGCCGACTCTTTTCTCTGTGTATATCAATGACGTCGCTCTTGCTGCTGGTGACTCTCAGATCCACCTCTACGCAGACGACACCATTTTGTATACATCTGGCCCTTCATTGGACACTGTGTTAACAAACCTCCAAACGAGCTTCAATGCCATACAACACTCCTTCAGTAGCCTCCAACTGCTCTTAAACACTAGTAAAACTAAATGCATGCTCTTCAACCGAACGCTGCTTGCACCCGCCCACCCGACTAGAATCACTACTCTCGACGGGTCTGACCTAGAGTATGTGGACAACTACAAATATCTAGGTGTCTGGTTAGACTGTAAACTCTCCTTCCAGACTCACATTAAGAATCTCCAATCCAAAGTTAAATCTAGAATCGGTTTCCTATTTCGCAACAAAGCCTCCTTCACTCATGCTGCCAAACATGCCCTCGTAAAACTGACTATCCTACCGATCCTTGACTTCGGCGATGTCATTTACAAAATAGCCTCCAACACTCTACTCAGCAAATTGGATGTAGTCTATCACAGTGCCATCCGTTTTGTCTCCAAAGCCCCATATACTACCCACCACTGTGACCTGTACGCTCTTGTTGGCTGGTCCTCACTACATATTCGTCGCCAAACCCACTGGCTCCAGGCCATCTATAAATCACTGCTAGGCAAATCCCCGCCTTATCTTAGCTCATTGGTCACCATAGCAACACCCACCCGTAGTATGCGCTCCAGCAGGTATATCTCACTGGTCATCCCCAAAGCCAACACCTCCTTTGGCCGCCATTCCTTCCAGTTCTCTGCTGCCAATGACTGGAACAAATTGCAAAAATCTCTGAAGCTGGAGACACTTATCTCCCTCACTAACTTTAAGCATCAGTTGTCAGAGCACCTTACCGATCACTGCACCTGTACACAGCCCATCTGAAATTAGCCCGCCCAACTACCTCATCCCTATATTGTTATTTATTTTGCTCATTTGTACCCCAGTATCTCTATTTGCACATCATCTCTTGCACATCTATCATTCCAGTGTTAATACTAATTGTAATTATTTTGCACTATAGCCTATTTATTGCCTTACCTCCATAACTTGCTACATTTGCACACACTGTATATATATTTATTTCTGTTGTATTTTTGACTTTGTTTTGTTTTACCCCATATGTAACTCTGTGTTGTTGTTTTTATCGCACTGCTTTGCTTTATCTTGGCCAGGTCGCAGTTGTAAATGAGAACTTGTTCTCAACTGGCTTACCTGGTTAAATAAAGGTGAAATAAAATAAAAATAAAATGTGTATGTAAACCTCCGACTTCAACTGTAGATTCTCATACTGCTAAGTATGGCCATGTCAATCTC